AATGATGATAACAAGGGTTATGATAATGATAAAAACAACAAATAAAGAATGGTAAATAATGATAAAAATAAGGATAATAATAAAATGACAATAATGGTAATTACAATGATTGGTTGATAATAGTAAGGATAAGGATAACAAATGATAATAATAATGATGATAATGATAACCATAATGAAAGTAATAATGATAATGGTAATGATAATGAGAATAATAATAATAATGATGACAATAAAAATAATAATAAGAATAATAATGATAACAGTGATAACAATGATCATAGTAATATTGGTAATAATAACAGTATTGAATAAAAATTATCAATAACAATGCTAATAGCAACAGCAACAACAATAATAATGATGATAATAGCAATGGCAATAATAATAACAATAACAATGAAAATAACAATGATAATGATAATTATAGAAATAATCATGATAATAGTCATAATAATGATGTCTTATTACTTCTAAGACTACTACTACTACTACAACAACAATAATAATAATAGTGATAATGATAACAATAATAATAATAATAATAATAGTAATATTGATAAAGATATAAATATGATAGTAATAATGGTGATAATAATAATGATTATCATTATAATAATTTCTATTATAACAACAACAATAATTATAATAATAATGATGTTGGTGATGATGATGGTGATGATAATAATAGTAATAATAATAAGGATAATAACAATGGTAATGATAATAATATTGATAATGATAATGATGAAAATAATAGTAATGTAAATAATAATAGTAATAATAAAAATAGTAATAATAATAAGGATAATAGTAAAAATGATAATGATAATAGTAATAATGATAATTATAATTATATGATGATGTTAATGATAATGCAAATGGCAATTATTATCGCTTTTGTGATCATAATCATAATGATAACATATACCATACCATCAATATTGATAGAAAAAGAAAATTAGTTACGATTAAAAAGATAACTGAAACGAACACCACGACAGAAAAGAAAAACCTTATCAGGAGATAGGCGTTCAGACTGCTTGGCCATGCAAATAAAGCATTTTTTTTCTTTTTTTAGTTTACTTCTTATAACACTATCTTGGTCCATGAGTGCTAGAGATTAGGACCATCTACATTGCCCCCCTCCCCCCCTCCCCCCAGGTGCTGCTGTCGGGTGCCTGTGCTTCGGCGCGGGCGTGCTGCTCTCCATCGTGTTCCTGCACCTGCTGCCGGAGACGCGGGCGACGCTCGAGTACGCGATGGACGCCGACCTGTTCCCGCACACCCACTACCCGGTGGCGGAGGTGGTCCTGGTGGGCGGCTTCTTCATGGTCTACCTCTTGGAGGAGCTCATCCACACGTGGATCCACCGCGCCCACCACAACCAGCACCACCGCCACGGCGACGCGGAGGCCGCGGGCGGCGGCGACAAGGCCGTGGGCGCCGGCGGGAAGCGCGAGCGGCTGCCCTCCGAGGGTCCGGCGGCGGCGCAGGAGGCCGTGGGCGGGCACGGGTCGGTGCGCGGCGTGGCGGTGCTCATGGCCGTGGACGGGCGCGTGAACGAGGCGTTCGAGGGCGACGGGTGCACGGGCGGCCCGGTGGAGGCGGCGGCGCGGCGCAACGTGCACACCGTCCCGCACCACCACGCGGCCGCCGTCGACAAGAACGTGTCGGTGATGGGCGCCGTGGTGGTGGTGGTGGCGCTGTCCTTCCACAGCGTGATGGAGGGCCTCGCGCTCGGCCTGGAGGAGGAGCCGACGGACGTGTGGATCCTGATGGCGGCGCTCACGTCCCACAAGGTCTTCATCGCCTTCAGCATGTCCATGGAGCTGCTGGAGGTGGGCGTGTCCCTGAAGCCCTTCGCGGCCTCCATGATCGTCTTCTCGCTGGCCTCCCCCGTCGGCGGCCTCATCGGGGCCCTCGTCGTGGCCTACTCGGGCGACCAGGAGTCCGCGGGCGCCGTGCTCGCGCCCACCTTCCTGCAGGCGGTGTCGGGCGGCACCATTCTGTACGTGGCCTTCTGCGAGGTGCTGGAGCGCGAGCGAGCCAAGCCCAAGGGCGGCATGGTGCGGTTCCTCACCCTCCTGCTGGGCTTCTGCCTCATGGCCGGCCTGGAGGCCGTCGGGGGCCACGAGCACGGCCACAAGAGCGAAGGCCCGACGGCCACCGTCACCCCGTAGGCGCGCCCCGAGGCCGGCCAGCGCTGGCGCCGTAGTTGCTGTGATGATCCTCTTGGGAATCGGAAGGGCGTCGGCCAGGAGGACCTGCTTGCGAGTGGCCGCCGTCGTGGGGACTGGGAGGGAGAGCAGTCTCAAGGGCTATACAAGCGTCCCTCACCCTCCAGTCGGAGGACGAGGTCGGCGAGGAGAGAACCTCGCTGCTCTCTTTTATTCGTGGGTGGCAGTTTGGTGGCAGAAGCGAGCAGGAGAAGCATCCTGATCTTTTAGATCATTAGTTTTCCGTTTTAGAAGGAGGATAAACAATTAAACGCACAAAAAGCAAATCAAAGCAAAATATATAGCCGGGCTTTGCTACTTACGCAATTTTACATAGATTTTTCTATGTAATCAAGAAAAAAATATAGTTTTTTTCCCATGAAGATTTTGAGCAAAGGAGAGTCGACTTGTAGGAACTGATACGGTGCTACATATAATTTTTTTCGTGGATCAAATGAACAAATAATCACATGGGTAGGATAATGGTGATGATGATTAGGAGTACTGTGATTATAATATTAATGATACTACTACTACTGCTACTATTACTACTACTACTAAAAGCAACAGCAGCAGTAGCAGCAGTAGCAGCAGCAATAATAATGACAACTACAACAAAAATACTACTAATAGTAGTAACAATAACACTAGCAACAACAATAGTTATGATGATAATATTAACAATAACAGTATCAATAATGAGAATGATGATACTGTTGACAATGATAATGACAGCTATTATCATTCTATCAATGAAAATAATATAATAAGGACAAAAACAAGAACTGTAATTATCCATCACTGTCATTATCAATGCTACTGCAACTTCTTATGATGATGCTGACAGGAACAATAATAATATGAACTGCATATGAACTACACTGTTTTTTATTTACTTTATGCTAAAATCTGAACTGATTAGTTAACATTTTAAAGCTATTCTTATAACTTTTGATAAGATAAATTCAACCAAATGAAAATATTATGAATGATCAGACTTTAATTAAATCTCATTATCTTTATCAAACTGAGAAACAGATAAGCTTTATCCTATTTTTCACTGTGTCTAAATATATCTATTTTTTGATAACATCCCGTTGTTATTTTTTCTTAATATACGTGGGAAGTTGTACATGTGACAAAATGGCGTCTTATATTTCGGGGAAGTTGTTTATTTTTTTCTGTACATGATACGTGGCATTGTACTGACTGGAAGTCTGACTGATAAACACACTAGTCTGAATACACACTTCACTTTATTTGTATTACTTTATTTATCTCAATTTCAAGTTTTTTTTTTCTCTTATGATGTGTCTAGAAATACTCAATGACCGTAATCAACTTTATACTTATAAGCAACTTATATATCTTAATGCTCAGGTTTTAGTCTATTAAATAATCTATATGAATTATATTATATATTATATTCATACTGTTTAACTGTTTATTGTTTAAAATCGCATTGCCTGAAATATTCCCAACGAGAATAGTTATCATAAACAAAAAATATAAGCATTTGATAGCAATTACTAATTTTGCCATTTCTTACATCATTTGCAAAACAACTAATTTTTTTTTTTACTTGTTGCATTGACTGAATTTCCTTGGGAGAAAAGTACAATAGCTTTTGGCTCTAAATTTTCAAACAAACATGTAAAATTGACATCAAACATAACAAGGAACTAGACTTTACCTCGAAATAAAATGGTCTTCAGCCTTACTTCACAAAATAATTCAAAACAAATAGAATATCACCTCGTTATTGGGGACTAATTTCCCTCAGCATGAAATCATAAAGTGAAAACATCCTTCTGTTTTCTATCTTAGGAATATCCTCCATTTATATAGTACATTTTTATCCGCGTTGGAATATATTGAAACGAAACGGAACCACAAATACAAAAAGAGGTCTCTTTGCCAGGCCGACCTTATTTTCCATTCATTTTCGGTTGTTAGCATCATTCTAATCAAAGTATATAACAAACACTATTAGAACTAAAGACTGGTTCTAATATAACTCTCAATATATCTAATCTACTTTTGGTGACCACTGGTTAAGTACCCCTGCATACTCACTTTCTGCTTCTTCAAAGACAATGGTCACAAAAATAGGAATAACTAAATCCTTGAAGACACCCATACAGACAACCACATATACACACACACACACACACCACAACACACACACACACACACACACACACACACACACACACACACACACACACACAACACACACACACACACACACACACACACACACACATACACACAATATATATATATTCAATTACACACACACACACATACACACACCTGGCGCACGAACAGTCGAAAGGTGATAATCTAGACCGAAGGTTAGCCATTTAACTGAATTCTATAAATATAATATGCATATATATACCGTAGATGTATCTACATGATTTACAGCAGTTCTCCATTAAAAGGATCAAAGAAAATTTCAACACTGGTAGGGGTAACTGAACTAGAATGTGATATACTGATATAGAAATAAATACATGATAGTGGTCACAATGACGGTAATCATCACATTCGCAAGGAGAACAATGATGCTAATGGTGATTATAACAATTATGATGATAATAGTGAAAATAATGACATTTGATAAAAAAATAATGATAATAACAAAGATAATAATACTAATAATGATAATAATGAATATGATAATGATAATAAGTGTAATCATAATAATGATAAAAAGAGCAGTGACAATAGAAATGATGATGTTAATAACAATGATAATAATAATGATAATAGTGATAATAAGGATAATGTGATAATAAATAATGATAAAAAAGATAATGCCAATAATAATAATAATGATAAAAATGATAATACCAATGATAATAATAATGATAATGAAATAAGGATAACATTATTAATGATATTGCTAATAACAATAATGATAACGACAATAACAATAATAGTAAAAATAAAAATAATCGTAAGGATGATGATGATATTGATAATGATAGTAATGATAATAATGATGATAATAATAATCACAACAATAATAATGATAATGATAATAATCGTAATAATAATAATTATGATAATGATACTGATCATAATAATAATGATGATATCAATAATGATAATAGTAACGATAATAATGATGATAATAGTGATAATGGTATCAATAATAAAAATGAAAATAATGATAGTAAGAATGGCGATGATAAAAAAATCATAATGATAATAATCATAACATAAAAAATGAAAACACCGAGTGATAATGAGAATATTAATGATAATAAAAACAATTGTAGCGGGACGTTTGGGCTGAACCGAGAACGTGGATTTTCTTTTCAGGGAAAGATTCGTCTGCAGTGAACAGATGTAAGGTTCCAGGCCAACGGTACGCTGCCACCACCCGCTTAGTAGGTTCGGGAACTGTGTGTGTTGTGTAAGTGGGCGTGGATGTTGTAGAAGAATTGGGTGGAAGGAAAATACAAGTGTGTGTGTGCCGAGTGTTGGATGTGTAAGTGTGTAGGTGTGAAAAGGGAAATAGCGTAGGGTAAGTATCTGCGTGGACGTGTTTGGAAGAAAGAAAAAAGAAAGATCATAGAATTCTTCTTCCCTTCGGTTTGAGCATCCGCCTGCTGATAACAGGAACCCAGGTGTAACAAAATTAGTCTGTTCTTTGATATCAGCTTAATATTCTCTGATTTATCTAGACTTTTTACAGCCTTTCAGGGGTTGCGAGATATCTGAGCAACAAGCAATGTGCTGTTTAGGAGACCCGAGTCCGAGAAAGATTTAGGCATCTAACCTTGGTCAGAACCAGAACTTTAGTGGTGGTAAATAAAACTAGTTTATATTATGATTGGAACTAAAAGCTCTACGGTGGTACGATGTTTATTCTGGGAGCAAGTTGCACTCACTAGGGAGTTACAGGCATTTTTCAGTCACGGAAAAGCAGAAAGATGTGTGCATCACCAATTTATCACAGCGGAGGTGATGCACGGGAAACTGACACCAGATTAACTTACAACGAATTATAAAATGTTTCCCCAAGCAGGCGTCCCAACTCCAGAAGTACACTTACTAAGAGCCAGCATAAGAACATCCAAATCCCTAAATTACATTAAAGGGTTAACAACAACCCAAATGGATCTTAACAAAATTTTAATTAAAAACCAATGCTGACAGGTACCTTGTAGGAATACTTTTTGTAAACAAGGAACACAAGAAGGCCGATTTTAAAAAGTCAAGGAAAGGACTATTCACGAAGACTGCCTGCACATCCACAAAGTCAGACAGGAATCAGCAGAGTCAATATATATATATATATATATATATATATATATATATATATTATATATATATATATATATAAGATAAATAAAATGTCACGTGATGGCAAGGTTAAAGATTCTGACGACATACGGATTACAAAGACTGCCTTATCCCCCACAAGGTCAGGCAGATATCAACAGAAACCACGCATTAGGCAAAATCAGACAAACAGAAGTCTATATCGATAAAATACATAAGATCCAGACAAACATCTTTAAACGCGGAGGAACGGATCCTCAAGCAGGGACGTTTCAAGCACTAATAACTTAGTGTAAAAGAAAGAAAGAAAATACTTTTATATTTCGCTGTAAGTTTATCTGGTGTTAGTTTCCCGTGCATCACCTCCGCTGTGATAAATTGGTGATGTTTCACCTTTCTGCTTTTCCGTGACTGAAAAATGCCTGTTACTCCCAAGTGAGTGCAACTTGCTCCCTGAATAAACACACCATCGTACAGCTTTTACTCAATTTCAATCAGAATATATCTTATTTGGAGAATAATATCTTATTTGGAGGTATGGATCCCCAAGCAGGGATTTCAAGCAGTAATAACTAAGTAATAAATAAAGAAAGAAAATGGAAGTATGAATCCTCAAGCGGGGACGAAAGAAAACTAGGTAATAACTTAGTAGTAGAAATGATGGTCACACTGGAGGTACGGATCCTCGTGCAGTGTTCCTCTAATTCACCTGGTCCTTCTAATGCTCTTTAATACTCGGAAATCAGTAGTGCTATGAGCCTTCACGAAAGAGTGTGTCCTGCAGATAATAAAGTAGTATGTCACGCTTAAGTCCAAAAGAGACCAGTCGTCTCCTGCACACAACCATCAAAATCACTTAGCTTAGAGAGGAGACACAGTAGTCCTGACGCAAAGTAAGGTAGATTCAAGCGTGAAATAAATCCAAACCTAAAATACATCCAAGCGTGAAGTAAATCCAAACGAGAGCACAAGATAAGAATCCA